TTGTTCTTACTTTAGTTACATATTTTAGATAATTACAGTTTGTTTTGTATTTCATTTAAAAATTATTATTAGGTAAATATTATAAGTTACCAGCATAATCCCAATACAATTCAATTATTTGTACACTCAAATTTGATTACCTGTCTAGTCTGTCTTCATCCTATTTTTTTTTTCAATCAATTTTAAGCAGATGAAATTTTTCATTTGACAGGTGCAAAATGGCCATAACTGTTTCCGTTGAAGTATGCTTATTAGATTGAAACATATTTGCGCCTATAAACACAAAATTGATTTCACTTGACGCCCACTCAGCACGAGACTGCCACGCGCACTCTCGACTGTCCAATCAGAATGGGAGTGCCCCCCAATTTCAATTGAATTGGATTCCGAGAGTGCTGCAGGATAATTTGAAAATACACAAATATGCCAATCATATGGCCCCGGAGAATATTCAATTAAAGTTTCAGGCCTGCGGCGTACATGTAAATACCAATGTACGCATACCATTTGTATCGAGAAACTTAATTAATTGAAAGGAGATTTACATACTGAAACGGGTTGAATAGTGATAGCTTTTTAAGCTGATAATGTTGACTCAGACGATTTGCATATCGGGCAGACATTATCTGCATCACTTGGCAATTGGCGAAGCAATTGAAGTGCATCTAATTTCACCAGCTCACAGTTCATGGCACTCTTGTGGAGCAGTCACCCGGAGAAGGGACTGCACTGGCTATACGAGGGACCTAAATCAAGTTAATCAACACATTTAAATGCACAATAAAAGGCACGTGTTATATCTTTTTTTGTTAGCATAAAAGTCAGGGACAGCATCCCACATCTAATCGGACATCTCAAAGTGGAAAAGAACATCTCAAAGAAAAAGAAACCCTCAGCGGAATATGTCCAAAGTCCAGACAGGCAGAAAACAAATTTCACCATCCATTGTCAGTTTCCTTAGACTTTGGCTGAATAAGGGCCCCCCACAATATAAATATTCAATGCAACTAATTGCTGTCCAAATGTTATAAATATTAATACAACTCAACTTGTGGTGGGAACAATCCACCTTTGTCTCTAGATCTGATGGACAGTTTTATATCCAGCAAAATCATGTCGTTAATGACAATTGTTGAAGATATATATCTTGGTCTAATTACGGTAGCCATAAATAATGGACAAAGCCTAGATAATTACAAAGTACTTGTAATTAAGTGGTTAGATACAATTGATACACTTTAGTAATTAAGATTAAAACCAAGTTTATTGCATAGCAAAAGTGGTTGAAAAAACGTTTATTTAATTTATATTTAGCCAGACTTAATCCCCTCTTCTTCTCTCTCTGAAAACCAATCAACTCTGACCTTCTTAGGCCCATTTAAATGGATTCTATTATGCTGTCCATCAATGCCCTGGCAACTGACATATTTATCATTATTATTATTTTACTCTAACTGGGAATATGTATTTATAATTCTGTTTCCGATTGGCTTAGCGCGGCATGTCTTCATTATATATTCAGTTTGCTAAATGCACGTGTCTTTATCGGACCAAGAAAATGAAAATAAATGTCATAAGATGGATACAAGTTAAAGTTAAAACAATTTTCTTGTCACTAAAAATAGAAATACTTATGCAGAAAAGATACGCGGAGGATTTAACTTCTACTACTGACAATGAAAACATTTTTATCCCCGGCACAAAAAAATGTCAAAGATTTGCAAATAATTGCTATATTACAATCTGTAGACATTTTTAAGTGGCGGAGAAGGATGGTAAATTTGCATTAGTCGCTTTCCCAGCTCGATATAGCAAAACTCTCCTTCGAAGGATGAGAAGGACTCGGAACCCTTGCCGCCGTTAGAAGCGCGAAAAAAACGAACAGAGAAGCGAACAAAAATGGCATTTTTCCAATAAAAGTCAACAAGCGAGAGAAAACAAGTAGAAATATTTTCGTGGCTGAGTGCGTGTTGGTATGGGCATACACAGGACTTTGACAAATGGTAAACAGAAGCCTGTTGATAGATACAAAACACTTGAGCGAAAAAATGTGAAAAAATCAAATTTATAAAAGGGGCAATTTTAAAGGGGTATTCATGGTGACAAAAATTGATTTATTCTTTAAAAAATTTAATAAAAATGTGGGTATTAAAGGGAAAAATTAAAGAAATGAGAATTCAAAAATGGTTATTATATTCTTATTAATATATCTCATATCTGCTTAGATTTTTATGGTAAAAATGATATGAAACATTAATTATAAGAAGTATATTTCCATAATATATTATCAACCACTATTTTAAATGAATTTTTATTTAGCCTCTATCATTAAATTTATAAATACAAAACCATTGCATACTTTCAGACATTCTTCAACAATTATATAAATTTAAGTGGTGGTAAATACAAATAATTATCTATGTTCATTATTGACTAGCAATTGATTTAAATTTATTTACACTTTCTAGTTAAAATGTGTAGAAAATTGTGTAAAAAATATTTTCCTCTTAGCCTTTATCAAAAAGTTTGTGATTAACAAAACATTGCATACTTTTAAGTCCCGTTTAAAATGTTTTTATTTATATAAAGAGTTTATTTTTTTTGGCAAGTCAGTAAGTACTTAAAAATTGAGGTCAATATTGCCGAAACGTTAAACTGATTAAAACTTTTCGACTTGAAGTTGAACAGTGCAAAATATTGCCCAAATTTGTTTCGAAAAGTTCAATAAGTGGACGAGTTGCAGCCTCTTGAAAGTTCCCTGCACTTGTGATTAAACTCGCAGCACTTGAGAGTTCTCTAAACTCTTCACATATCTCTTCAACTCTTTAATTACCCAAAGCCATCCGTTCAGTGAACCTTGCAACAATCTTGACTCGCAAGTCGATTCAATTGAATTCCATCTACACAAGTTGGGCTAATTTTTGAGCCAAAGCATTCGTCGCTAATACAATTTGCCATTACAAATTCCAACTGTTCCTTGACCTTTTCTGCCAAACAATGGTTTCCCCAGAACAAGAAAAGAAAAGGTGGAACAACAAAGCCAGTCGAGATGAGCAAAATCCCCTTTCCCAGAGGACCAATTAAACGCAGCAAAACCTGATGGAGCATTGCAAGAGCATCATCAACTGATGAGCGAGTCTACAAGGATTTTAAAATGACAACGTCCTTTTTTTGGGCAATAACAATATCTATCGATAATATCTGAACAATGCTGTGGGAGAACAAGTAAGAGAATGAATAAAATACCAAGAAAAGCCCATCAAAGGAAGTGGAATCGAAGTAAAGGAAGAGTCTTTTTCTTCAACAGTTTTTATTTTGTGCTGTTACGCTAAGAAGTCCGATGCAAAGTCTCTCAATTTTCTTGTAAAATGAAAACTCCGCTTGGTCACGCTCTTAAGTAGGCTATGAAAGAATGCAGATAAATAATATGTAAATTAAAGCAACATCCTTGTGGGAATTTCATTACTTTACGGGTCACTCAGCGCCATAATTAAAATATGAAATTAATAAAGCCCTGTAAATTATGGAGGGGAAAAAGGGTGAAATTATTACACGCACTCCTTAAAAGCACCAAGGATACTGTAATTAATTTGGTTATCCGATATCCAGACAGTCCGCCTGGGAGATGAGAGGGGAAAAAACCAGCAGCCAACCTGAGATAAATACATTTAATCAAACACTTTAGCCACAAAACAGGGCGCCCATCATCATCATTATCGTTAGTAATTAGTGGTTTAGCAATTAAATGATAAATGCCACAAAAAAGGGGTTAAATGCCATACAATGGAAAAGAAGCTTAAAAAAATTGCGAATATTTCTTCATTTTTGTTAAGTTCAACGGGGAACAAACAACGGAATACAAACAGAACAAGAAAAGGCCATTTGCTCATTGTGTTCTCTCACCTCGATTTTCTTTTATATTTCATGTTTGTTTGTCTTCTTAAAATTTACAGTACAGTGAAGCCCTCCACCCTTTGACATATAAATAAAATAATATATAAAATGAAGAAGGACTACCCACAGACATCTTTGTAATTATTATTATTTCTGTTTCGTCTTAATTTTACTCCTTTCTGCATAACCAGCGTCTAGGAGAAAGTAGGGAAAAGTCTGTTTATTATTTGCTTCTTTTGACTTTGTTCCTGGCTAATTTTCCCTGCCAAAGGCAGTTGTGTCGCACCTGTAAAAGCACACCTTTACACCCACACCTCTAATTGAAAATTCTCTCGGCTTGCATCAAGTCTAGGGAAAAAAAAACGGGTTGAAAATATGTCGGAAAATTTAAGATAAAAGATTAAAACGGAAGAGCTTTTCCTGGCAGGTGGACTCTTGGGAAAAAAGGCCACCAGGAACTTGCAACCAGACAGCTTTAGAAACTCACTCAACATTCTTGTTATCCGACATTTGAGATACTCGACCATTACGGGTTGGAAAAAGGATTGTGTATTAACTCCTACGGGGAAATATGTACATTTTGTCAGCTGAAAATGTATATTCAATTAAGATTTTCTCTTGTAAATATTTGTTCTTTGTGTTAAACTGTAAATATTTATTCATTTTTAATTTCTTTGCTCTTTAAACCGCAAGAGAAATTACTTTCTTTTGCTCTATAAACCGCAAGTGAAATTGCTTGCATCAATTGAATTGAGGTTTTCTCATGCAAAATGTTTGATCAAAGCCAGTAAACAAAATATTTTATATTCCACACATTGCGTTTGTTATGCCTCGTGATGCCAATCTATTGAAATGCTTAAAATTCATTGATAAATTTCGATGGACAAGTCAAAGGGGAGAACATTTAAATTGCTCAATTGCCAAACAAATAGTCGTGGTGTATGTGGTTTTAATAAATTTGCTTTTTCATTTGTTTATTGAGGCGAATGAGTTGTAGTATAGTATTTAATATGCCAAGCCGAGTGTGCATTTAATGCTCTTAATTGTAATGATAATGAATTTTTAAGCATTAATTGAAAATATCGGATATGATTTTCTCTACATACTTACTTATCCCGGCTTAAATTAATTACTTTTCCAATGTCAGTTGGATTTAAATGCGTTCTGCTGTTTCTCGTTTTGTTTGCGTCAGTATTGTGTAATAAATTAATTAATTCTCATTTTCTAGGGGGACGCAACTGTGTGTCCAATGCAATTAGCTCGCAAATGATTATATTGACTCCGTGGCCATAATCAACAGTAGTTGAGAGCAAACAAAAAATTCTATCTATGTTTATATACACTTTTTAGATAAACACAACAAACACTTGGCATTGAATTTTATAATGATTTTGGAATGATGTTTCATAAACTTTTCTCTGCGGGTTTAGATTTCTTTTATTAAAACATGTACTTTAAGTTGGTTTGGAATATTTGTCTAATTTTTTGGTTTGTTTTTTTTTGATACAGTTTCGATCGCGAGGCACAACCGCACGATAAAAGCTCACGGAGCCAACTGATGGCTGTAGGAGCTCGGCAGCCTGTTAATTTTTGTTTTTTCTTTGCCGGCTTCTATTGATACACACAGATACAAAAGGGAGGCAGGCGTGCGCACACACACTTGCTCACATTTTTTTATACTGTATTTTCTTTTTTTATCTCGAGAAATACGCATACGTCAGAAGTGGGCGGTGGTTTATGTGGGTGACATGGCCAAAATCAAGAAAAAAAAACTCAGGTGCAGCCCCAAAAGAAGTCTTAATCAATTTGACTGTTTTTCTGCGGTGTTGTTAATATAAATCAATAAAATCAAAACAACATAAAACCCATGCGAATACGCCTGGGAGTCTGGGCGTGTCTCGACTGCTTCACTTCTTCAATAATTTTTGGTTTTTTGTGCTTTACTCGCATATTTGTTTACTGATTACCCACCTCAAAATAATAATAATAAAAAAGAAAAACAAAATATTATGGCCTCCCCCTCAGATAAGTGAAAGTTGTTCGGGGCCTGTTGAATCGGTAATTACCATTTAATATTGAATTAAGTGGATTTCTAGTGGAGTTTTCCTCAGTGACTTTATCTCTGCCAGACAGAGATTGTAGATGTTAGGTCAAATGCTTTGGCATTAAACGTTTACACAATTACAGCTCATGGAAAATAAGTGTATTTAATGGTTGGATTTGTGAGGTAATAAAGTAATTAGAAGGTGAAACAAACTAGTTAGTTCAGCCACATGGACTTTTATTGGATTTAGATAGTAACAATAATCATATTAAAGCATATATGTTTTATTTTAGTTGGTTATTTCTTTTACCTTATGCTTTTTATTCTAGTGACTCATTATTTTCCTTCTTATCTTTATATCATTTATCACTTTATCATAGCTAGGAAACACCCTAATTGCTTAAATTCCATTAAAACTGACACACAAATATGTTTTCCAAGTAAAAGACGAGCAATTTACTATATATTTTCCCTAGAAATAAATTGGTTTGTTGTAAATTTAACTCTAGATTAGATTTTTGATAAGATTAAAAGACAGTAATAATGTAAGAAATATTGTCATATTTAATCTAATGATAGTGGTAATCAGTTGAGGTAATACCTCTCTATCTACCAGTAAGCTAGTATATATAAAAACCAAACACGATTACTGCACAAAGAAAACAAAGGCTGCAAATGTTAAAACATGTTCACAAATTCGGACAAAATTCAATTTAAGAACAAAAACTCATCATGGCAGACACATGCAAGACAATGTCCATCATTGACCCACCTTTTAGTGTCCTAAACGAGCCGTGATTGTGGCATAGATAGATAAAGACAGACAGATAGACAGAGATGGGCCTGAAGCAAATGAGGTTTGTCAGGATCAGACGACATGAGGCAAGGCTAGAGACAAGAAACCAAAGACCTATCCGTGTCAGAGGTTAAAGGTGATGCCCACAAATACGATTTACGGATAAATGGTCAAAGAAAAGAGCACCCTCAGAGCCTCACTTTAATATTGTATGTATGACCAATAAAGTTACTTAAACTCAGAGATTTTAAATTGATTTAGATTTCCCTTTGCCTCAACCAGCACACTCGGTTCCATTTCATTTGTAATCAATTTAATTGCCTTTCAATTACCCCCAACAAAACCGAATGGAAATCCGAGACGAATTCTGACTTAAACTTTGCCTTCCAACAATTTGTTTACTTAGCAGCTGGCCCCAAAATAAAATCTCAGAAAAGTGTGTAATTTAGCAAACGTTTTTTACATCTCCACACATACTTAAGATTGTTATTCAAACAGATTTCGAGTCGGTGGCATCATGGCGTCCATTAGTGTTTAAGTGCGAATTGAATTAAATACAAACTAATTTAACTAAATTCGCATTATCATCGAGACTAGAAAAAAAGTGGCAGCGACACAGGTCTTGCTTGCTTTTGCCAAAAAAAAACCCTGTTAATTGTTTTAATTAATATAATTATTACCTTAGCCTCCTCACATTACTATATGTGCGGAATTTTGCGATTCAAACTGAATTAAGTTTTAATAACTTTAAGCCCCGAGTAGAGAACATTTTCATTTTGCCATCATGGCCAAGTATCAGCGAAATGAAAACCCAATATAAATCGGTATATAAAAAACATTTTCCTCCTTTTATATGTATACAAGAAAATTGATTGATTTACCTGTCTGGCATTGGCTTTTGCTCTTTGATTATTTGTCTTGTGAAGTGTGTTTTTTATGGCCTCCTCCACTTTGTGTGAATAAAAATGGCCAAATTGAGGTTTATCCATATCGAAGTCGCCTTAAATCGATTTCTCGTTAAGAATACATCTTTTTTTTATGCATATAATTAAATGCATTTATGCAGAAATTACGCTCCGCTGCGAATGGTGAATGTTAACAAGCGATTTGTTTTGATTTATCTGTAATAAATTACATGGCTTTAACTGATGCCTATCCCCTCTTCGCCTATTTGCTTATGCCGCATTTATCGCTTCGGGCCTTTACCTCTCTCTCTCTTGGCCTGTCTATTTTTCTTGTTTTCTGTTAATGGAAAACGCAAACAAAACAAATCGGGGCGCGATATGATAATGATTTTGAATCATTTATAGTCTGGCTTCCTTCCGACGGCACGTGCTAAGGTTTATCATTAGCCAGAGAGAGTGCAATTGTTTACAATTTATGGTTAGCCAGGGATTTTTCGCCATATAATCAGTTATCCAAATTAACTTTTCCTGTTTTCCACTTCTCCAGTTTTCCCTTTTTCAAAAATATTAAATGTCGTGTTTTGGGTTTTCTGATCTTTGGACCTGTTCTCCACCTTTTTGTATACTATAATAATAACTGAAGCACGTGGCGCCGGTTTCAGGTGCTAATTAGTTAAGCATGCCATATAATGAACTCGCTTTAGACAACGCGGTCTATATAAAATTAGCCGAAAAGCCACGATTTAAAAAAAAAAAAACCTGACGAAAGCGAGTTTTTTGTTTTACTATATATAATTTGGAGCAGAAAAAAAGCATCTAATTGTTGATTAGCATCGATTGGGGATATGGCGATATAAAAGTGTCCATTTTGTTGGTGCAAGTGACCGTAAGTTAAGGCACTGCAAGAAATCGGAATTTATAAACTAAATCATTTTTACATTTGTATGAAAATATATTATTATTATTTATACTTTTTTGGATTATGTATAATAACGTTGTATAAAATTTGTATTACCAAAAACATACATAAGTAATGCTCCAGAAATATAATTCAAATTATAAATTTAATAACAATAATAACAAGAGAAAGCTAAAGTTAGTGCCAAAGTTAGGATCAGGAAAGGGTAAGAAATCAATTACCAAGACCCATTTATAATATAATAATTTATAAATTAGTTGGGGCTATTAACTTAATTAATCCACATATATTACATTAGGTGATATTTTTGGGTACGAAGGGGTAATCACTATCACTAACTATAGATGTTAACACTAGGAAGGCCGCGAACCGAATGAGGGCAGTGAGAAGGCAGTGCCTCTATTTATACAGAATCTCCGAGTACTGAGAAGAGCAGAGAAATTGAGAACGGGAAAGAGAGGGAGAGAAAGTAAAATCTCTAGAGAAAGGGAGTCACATACCGAAAATGGGAGAAAGAGGGAGAGTGAGAGAGAGAGTGTGTAAGAGAGAGTGTTTGAGATGGAGTTTATGAGAGAGAGAGTGTTTAAGATGGAGTGTGTGAGAGAGAGAGTGTGAGAAAGTGAGAACGTAAGAGAAGGTGAGTTTGAGAGGGAGTGAGTGTGAGAGATAGAGTTATATAGTTACAGAAAGAAATTGAGGTAATATAAAAATAAGTCAGGGAAAGAAATATATAAAATGCGAAAATAAAATGTAGAGGGAGAGATATATAGCCTCATATAGCTCACAAAAATTATAAAACCTTACCTCTTAAAGTTTCAATCTTAAAGTTCCTCAAAACTTAAACAAATTTATAATCCATACACGTTTAGTCAATCAATATCGTTTCCAGTTTCACTACTGCTTTTATTCTAACTCAATAAGCTTAAGTTAAATTATTCCCAAAGTCCTGCCTTTGGTCCTTTTCGACTGAAAAAGCTGTTAATAAAGCAAGATTTAGGGAATTTTCCATTTCATTCAGGCAGGCAACCAAGGTTGTTGAATAATTCTGTTACACAAAATTGATTCAAAACCCTTTTTGCACTGCAGATGTGAAAAACAGAAGCAGACGCATGGGATTATAATAAATTTAAGAGGCGACCTTTGACCCTCTTTTTCCTGGAAAGACACAAAATTTGAGCCTCTCCCACTGCTGTCTATTAGTTACTCAAAATGTTCAATTTTTGACAATTCAATTTGCAAAATGCCAGTGTTTTTGATGGGTTTGTTGTGGCCTCTTAAATTTCCATTTCCGCCTTAAGCAGGAAAAATCTTGCAGGAAAATCTTTTTGGCTAAAAGGGGGAAAAGTTGGTCCCTGGTCCGCGGTTTTCTGCCACCTTCGCACGCTATTTGAGCTCCAATTGGAAGTTTGTGCCCGGCAATTACCACACTTGGTCTCAGTTTCTGTTTTGGTTAAGCAAAAGCAGCAGCAGCTGTGGCAAATTATGAAGTGCCATGAAAAACTTGAGCCATTTTCCCCGATGTCCTTTTTCCCGGACTGATAAGAACGTGACGAAAATCAGCTTGTGGGTATGGTTATTTCCTGCAGACTTGCTAGATGAAATTTGTAAATTATACAACAATTTCTTTGACCCTTTATCCATTTGTTTTTCTTGGGAAAGTTTTCGCTTAGCTTTTCTTTAGTTTTCCCTTACTACTCCTTATTTGCGTTGATCATCGGAAAAGTCTACAATATTGTCTGCGTATTTATTAAATTCTTTGCCCCTTTACACTTTGTCTTTTCCCTTTTTTGCTTTTGGAATATATATGCCAGTCAAATATTTGTTCAGAATAAACTAAAGCGAGGCGGTGCTCATTTATCCAATCTACCCCGGCAATTATATGCAATAATTTTTGCATTATTTGTTGTTATTTTGTCGCTTTGCTGCTGCTGTAGGTTTCGTTAATTAAAATGTTGTTAACATTAGGTTTCAACGCCTGATGCCGGCATTTAATCCGGGGGCCGCCCGGCAAATAAATATTTCCATTTCCCCCTTCTTGGCAGAGATATATAATTTTTTTTATGAGTTTTTCGTATATTTTTATTTATTGTAGTTTTGCGCTGCTTAATTATTTCTATTTGCCCAACACACAGCGTTGCGATAATAAACAAATGAAGAATAAATGAAGACGAAAACAAAATAATACTACAATTCTCTCAATAGCATTTGATCATAATTTGTGTTCTTTAATGACCGGAGAATTCTGGGGTACCTAGTCTAAACAATTTGCAGATAAATTTCCATATGAAATGCTTTGGTATTTACACATCAAGTCAAGTTATGTATCTGTATCTTATATTTGTATCTCTGGTGGAATTGTTTTGGGTCTTTTTTTAATGGCTGCACGGAAGGAAGCCCCGCGCATTCAATGGAACCAGCCAAAAAAATGAGACAATTGAATGAGCAAATAGATTAAAAAGTCACAGATTTTATGAATGGAAAAATGTTGTGCCAATATGTACAATTTGTATTTAAAATTTTTTTCATGTGCGTGTGTGTGTGCTGGTGTGTCTGTTCAAAGGGAAATATTTTTAATTCTTTCGCTCTTTTTGCCATTTAAATAAAGGAATTCGAATTCCATTTGTTGATGGCTCTTTTTTATGATTTCAATGATTTGCAAAAACAGAAAATGACTTTGAAATTCAACATATTCGGCTTCTTGAAAGTGCTGCAAATATTTTATACAGCTTTTTTAAGTTTCTTTATTGGTTCAAGGTGTGTTGAGTGTTCTTTAAAAAAGTTAACCATTAAATTTTCCACAAGATACTTTGGCCTTTGAACAAGAAAAATAAATATTCATGTGTGCAGGTTTATAGTTTTAGCTTTCTTGCTTGAAGCTCTTGTAAGAAAAATATAAGAGTAAATGGTTTCCCACACACATTTTTCTATCTTTGAGATAAAACTCTTAAGCCTTTAAGTACTGAAAGGTCTTAAATGTTATAAAAAAATATATTTCTGAAGCTTGCTTGAATATTTTCTTAATCGCCTGAAAGCATTTGACCAAATATAAAATATAAAACCATTCTCTTATTTTTCTCATATTTTTAATATACTTTAGTATGTGGATGTGGAGCTACATTTTGCTTAATTAATTTTCTTATGGCCTCACATAAATTTGTTGCTGTATTTTAACAAGGGAAATCTATTAGCTTATCACAAATTGCTGGCAAACAGAAGGAAGGAAACCCTTGAGCAAACAAGTTCCCTGGGAAAAATTCCAATGAAAACTGTGCTCTGTTGCATTTACGAGCTTGCAGCAAGGAGTGGCAGTAGCAGGAGCAGCAGCAACGGAGGGAGGAAAAGTGGAAAAACATAAACACGACTTTACTTAAAATTTAAGACCAAGACTTTGTCTCCGGGCAGAGACTTGAAGATTTTTCTGGTTCGCCAAATATTCCAAGTTGAAGGTTATGGCCGGGCCTCTCGGGATGATGTGCTTCCTAATAAATTGTTTATATAAGTTTTACGATCTTTTTTCTTTTCTTGGTTTATTTGTTGGTTTTGTGATGTGTGCTGGAGCATGGCATTTGGTTAAGTTCTTGTCGGTCTTTTGCACATGACTGTTTTAGCCAAAAGTGTTGCGCACATAGCCTGCAAATAATGAAAATGAAACCACAAAGTCAGCAAGATTGTTGGCAACGCGAAATGCCAAAGCCAAAATTTCATAGCAAACTTTTTGGCCGAAGCTGCAAAAATGCAATTAATTTTAGCCAGCAAAAAATAAATAAGAAAAACAATTCACTTGAGCGCATGAATATGAACGAATGACAAATGGACAAATTTGAGGGTGCAATTGGGCGTGTCCGCAGGTAATTTGTTTGTAACCTAGAGGCAAATTAATTACGCGCAAAGCCTCAGAGCTTACACATTAAATTAGTAGCAGTTGAGATACACTTTGGTTTTATTAGTGGTTAGAGTGGGCAAAAAGCAGTAACAAAAAGCATTAACAACACACACACAGAAAAGGTCAAATAATTTATATGTTAGTTATATCCCCGATATGAACTCGAGCTGTAGGAACGATCCCTGCTGGACAGGGGCAAACCATATCGATCGGTGTCATCGTAATAGCCATAGCCTCGATTCCTTTGACCCTGATAGTCACGTTGCCAATAACCTGAATATTGCCTAAAGCCGCCATTACCTCCATAGCCTCCATATCCGCCATAGCCGCCACTTCCTAGGATATTTGTGGTGGGATAATACCCGCTGTTGGGATAGTATCCCTGATTTGGATAGTATCCCTGGCTGGGATAGAAGCTCGACGAAGATCCATAACCCGAACCGGGATAATAGTTGGAGTTTCCATAGTAATTTGTATTGGGATAACCTGGATAATAACCATTGCTGGGACGATTGTAGTTATAGCCATAACTGGGATAACCAGTGCCAGTTCCAAAGAGATTGAGTACTATATAGGGGTTGAAGTATGTAAATAGAAATTATTATAATTGGTATATTATTATCTTAGTATATACATTTTAAAAGTTTAAAAAGATGTAATTATTAAATAGAAATATTATATTCAATTATTATTATAAAAAGAGGTTGCAAAATGGCAATTATATCATGGAAAATAGTATGAAATATTATATTCAAAGATTATTATACGAAGAGGTTCCAAAATTAAACTTTTATCATATACAAACTCTATAAATATATTAAGAAACTTCTTTCAATTGAAGAAATTACATATTGAAATATGTTTAGAAACATTTATATACCTCTTGAACCCAGCAGATTATTTATTTTCCTTTTTATTAATAATTATGAAATTTTTTTCAATACATAATATTAGAAAGTCCGAATCTTAAAAGGAAACTGATATTTAAACCTATAATTTATTCCCATTCAAAATTTTGTAGCTATGCAAAATACATAATAAAATGTATATAATATACAATGCTAAAAATATGGCAAAATATCTCATAGAATATATATGTATAAAGCTATCTAACATAAAACATAACTTAAAATAAGCTATATGCCCGATTTCATAGTTGCTTCCATATTTTCCCTATATATTATAAAATATGAAAATTAACTCATTGCTTAACTAAAATATAGCATTTAGCTTGGATTCTATACGGTTTCCTTATATTTACCTATATCTTAATCCCAATAATCCCCCGTTTTACTTACATTTGGCTGAAGTCTCAGCGGTGGCCAAGTCACCTGTCGTTGTCCTGGCCGCCGTTGTTGCCACCTGATGATTCTCTGGTAAGACGGCACTCCAGGCACCAGTCACGGCCAGCTGAAATAAGGGCTCTCGTTTTTGTGTATCAAGACAAATTGGATATTCCTCTAAACACTCACCATTAGCATAAATAGCTTGATGTACATGGTGTCTTTACTATTTTTAAGAAAAAGGAAACAATCGGGAACAAAACACTGAAAACTTCTCAGAAGACGAAACCAAGACAACTGCTTGGCACGGTTGTTGGACGTTAAATAATTCTGTTTCTCAGACGAGAGGCCAATTTATATTTTTCATTTTCCGGCTGAGTTGCTACGCTCAACTTGAAGTCGCTGTCGCCGTCGAAACAAACCAAACAAAAATAAAACAATAACAAAAAAAAATACCTAAAACAAAACAAAGCCTCCCACTCTCGCACATTGTCGCACTTTTAGTTATATTTTTTGTATCTCCACCTGAGAGACGAGCTTAGCTTTATTACTCATACGCCCAGTTGGCTTAGCGAAACTCCAAGCAACTTCACAGGTGAGAATCCAGCCCTAAAGAGTTCTATGAGGGAGTTCTAGAAGACCTTTGCCTGCCACCGATTATGCATTATTATTAATAATGCGAGTAATATTCACAATTTTGCGAGGCAGGTGACAAAATAAATGCCCCCAACTTGCCGGTGCGTGAGCTGGGTTTAATTTTTTCTGTATCTATTTACCTTCTTTGAAACTTTGGCAAACACAAATAGCTGAAAAAAACCGAGAAACCAAAAAGAAATACAAATGCAATACACCGCTCTGTTGGCAACATTTAATATTTACCCAAAGTTCACAGATCGCATTTCTTTCAAGTTTTACCGCCATGAATGAGAGGAGGTATTGGGTCGTGCTTGTTTAGTATATCTTTAATTCCAATTATCCACAGAAAGTTTGTTGTACAAATATTTACGTTACTTGACTTTTTTTGTGGTCTTTGTTAACTTGGTTCTGTTGCATAATAGCCGGTAATCGTATACAGAACGAAGAGTATATATATTTCATAACCTTGAGGGGTTGTAAATTCATTCATGAAACGATGACTAGAAAGATTTTGGAAATTATCTGAAAGCATATTTGTCTTCAAACGAATTTTGACCTCCACCTATATGGGGCCTAAACTAACCAAAGATTGTCACAGGTGAGAAAGAAAAAGATACAATGTGTGAAAAGTGTCGGGTATGCGGGTATATTGCAACTCTTTTAGTTATTGGCTTGACAATGTTGTAAAATATAGCCGAAAAAAAAGAATAATAATACAAAACTGGGTTAGGCTCTCTCAAGGTGCAATGGTTACAAACCTAAATGGTTTCATTGTAAACTGCTACAAATTAATCAAAAAATAACATTTAAATACAAATTCAAGGAATAACTTATTTTCATATAATTATTTCCCTTTATTAACCTTAATAAAATTACAATTAAATTTGCGTAAGTTATTCCCTTGGGTAAAATCAAAATAGGCAGGTGTTCTTTGTTGACTTAAGTTTTCATGAAAATGTATGTAAGACTCAAATAATTTAATAAATGTCAATAAAATAACTGCTAAACCTTAGCTTGAGGCGAAAAATTTGCCAGGCCCTTCGAAACATTAAAGGTATTTTGGTTGGCATGAATTCCATTATGTACTTACCTGCCTTTCGAAATAACATTGAAACAAAACAGCAGAAGAATAACAAAAAATAAACAAGAGTCTCCATTTCACTTTTGGCTTCGCTTTCTCCCTTGTTTTGTTACGTCTATTGATTTCTAGGGAGCCAAAGAGCCTAGCTAGAATTTTCCTACAATTTTCCTGCACTCCAAGGAGGAAAAGGAAAGCGTAGTCGAGCTTATTCTGGAGAGTGTGGGGAAATTTTCTTTGGGAGATATTTCATGTCGTCGCCAACCATTTTACGCACAATGAACACCAGATGAAGCTAGGAAAAAGGGAAAGTCGACGCCAATGAACCCTACAGAATATAATATTATCCTCTAATGGTCTTTAATGGACCCCATCTGTCAGTCAAACTTTTTCAGATAAATATATAAACAAAACTATCTTTCTTTTTAAATATTTATTTCCTGTAAAAGTATGTGCCTTATATACCCTGATTGACCATTAGTCCTTGTCAGGCATCAACGATTGCTGTATACACAAGTCATTATTAACATCATTTTCACTTATATTTTATAAAGATTTAATTTACAAATTGGGTTGGATTCCGAGAATGCCTGGAATCATCGTCTGCTGAGCTTGTATTTTGTGGGTACTGGAATTTATAGGTTTCCAAGAAGTTATATAAATTTAAATTAGACCGCAATTCAAACATTTCTTAAAGATTCAAATAAGAGCGAAAGGTTTCAATTGAAACAATGGGTAGCTGTGATTATTTAGTGATGTATTTCATTTTTAAATCACGCAATGTAATACAAAACAGGTTATATTTCTTTCGGTTGAATTGTACCTATGGTATATATTATAGTATAATCTTAGGCTTTTCTGACTCTAAGTGTATACTAACACACAAAAAGCCGTTTGGGGCGCCACTGGCAAGTCTTTATTTAATTTTCAAACCAAATTTGTAAAATATGTATATTAAATATATGTATTTATTTAATTTTAAAGTTCTAAGATCCTTTAAAACTCTCTTATATAATATTGGGAGTAAGTACTTTCGTATGAGGTTTGTTTCAAGTCTTAAAGAAATTGTTTAATAAACTTCAGGTAATAAAAATATACATAAGCAAACATTTTAAATTGTAAATTTATAAAATAAATGAGAGATAATTCATAGAGGCAGTCCCTAAACCGGCCTTATTTTATCCTCACATTTCCTATTCTTCAGATCTATAGCTTATTGGGATATATAGACACATAATATATAGTCTGTAATGTGATATAGTAAATATAAAGGGATAGCTCTTCGACACCCAAAAATATTACTCCATCATGGTCGGTCATATATCTTCGTATTTGAAATATTCCAGCCTCAATAAATTCGAAAAAGAAGGATCAAGCTTTTTCCTTTATTGATAGCACTGTGCAGAGCTTACAACTGGGTATAAAAATAACAAATAACTCAAGATTATAGATTGTTGTAAATTTATTAAAATCGTAATAGCCACCAGCCCAATTATCTTCACTACAGTAAGAACATCTAGAAAACAAACACCTTGTATTTTTTTTTTCTTAATTTTTATTTAATTTCAATATTTCTCTTTTGACATAACAATTCAATATTCCGTCTCAATCATTATTAGAGTAGACATTAAATAAACTAAGAACTAAAGTCGATAAAAAATCATAAAGAAATAAAACTGAATGAAATCATAAAAAATAAAAAAGCATACACAAATGCATAATAAACAACATGTCACAAACAATTTTCTCTTTTTCTTTTGCCAAATTCTCTGTGATTACACATTTAGAATTTAAAGGAATTATACATAGAGAGCGCGCCGATATATTTATATTTATATATACTCGTCGTGGACAGGCGGTCTGGAGTGCATTTAGAAAATCATTGAAATTCAAATAACACAAGAAAGCGAACACATAACCCGGGCTCTCCGTCGATTTTGCCCATCTTAAATGCTGGTTGGCCCTGCCTGGCAGACACTAAAAACACTTAGACTAGGTTTAGTTTTTTGTTTTTTTTGGGAGGTAGGATCGAGGTTGGGATTGGATAAAGCGGGATCTGGGAAGGGTAATTGGTAATTGGTTGGATGTTCTTTTCGTAGTTCTTGTCTTAGTTCGTCTCGCTAGTCGCCTTAATTTCTGGCTTGGGATCAGCCAGTATCTTGATCTCTTCGGGTTCAACCTGTGCCTTGACCTCCTCAGAGGGTGCTGCCACGGGTTCTACTTGAAACTTGACCTCCTCAGAGGCCGCAGGCTTGGGCTCCACCTGTGTCTTGACCTCTTCAGAGGCTGCGGCCACAGGTTCAACCTTCACCTTGGTCTCCTCGGGAGCTGCAATCTTTACCTCCTCAGAGGCTGCTACCACAGGTTCAGAGGCAGAGATCTTAACTTCCTCAGAGGCGGCGGCTACGGGTTCAACCTTGACTTCCTCTACCTTCTCAGATGCCGCGGGTTCGACGTCCTTGACCTCCTCCGTAGCCTCACGCTTCTTGTGCAACCTATTTGGCAGATTCTGAGTGCAGGAGCAGGGACACATGCACTGATCTTTGGGGGCCGAACCCGTGAGCACAGAGTGGAGGCTAAAGGATGCCGGCTGAACGCCCAGTGGGAAGGGATCGATGTTTGAATGTTGATAGACGGAGTTCTCCTCGCAGTTGGAATAATACTCCTGCGGCAGGATAACCACAGGCATCAGGGCAATGACGGCACCCTTGGGGATCTTATCCGGCGGATAGAAGGCCGGCTGTCCGGGCGCTTGGGGTATCACGGGCAGTTGGGTTAGTGACATGGCGTTTATTATGCTGCCAAAGTTCGCTTGTCCGTTGAAGCCGGAGAATTGTTTGTTAAAGTCAACAGAGGCGGGATTGGGATAGGAGTTCGTGGTGGTGTGGTGGCTAGTGGTGCTAGTGGTGGAGGTAAGGGTGTTTCTTGATGAGTGCGTCTTATCGGCGTTACACACACAGGACTGATCGCTGATCGATGGCACATGCAATGGTGGAGAGGGACGAGGTGTTACTTTCGATTCGACATAAGGTTGTGGTCTATATGTCGGTGGAATAGTTGGTGTCTTGGTCACAGTATAACCAGGCACTGGTGGCACCTGTGGCGTATGATATTGTATCTGAGGCGGTGCAGTGTTCACCTTCTCGAAGGGTCTCGGTGTCGAGGGATTGTATTGAATCGGAATCGGAGTCGGAGTCGAGGTCTTGGTCACGTATTTAGGCGTCGGCTGTGGCGGTGGTAGGTAAGTATGGTTTTCAATATTACCCGTTGTCACTGGCGGTGGCGTAACGCTCTTAACTGGCGTATCCTTCTTAATAGTGATAGCCGGGACCTTTGGCTGTACAATCGTCGTTGTTGTGGTTGTTATTTTTTGGGATGGCGGAACAGGAGCGGGAACGGGAACGGGAGCGGGAACATAGGGTTTTGGTGTATTGGGAGGGAAAGAAGGTGGAATATAGGTTAGTGGTGGCTTTGTCGTTACGGGCACCTGCTTATGCACATAATCATTGTTGTGTTCGTAATTTGGCTTAAAAACTGGCTTAATTGTTGGTGGCTCAATTGCAATGACTTGTGAGTGGGATGGTGGTGGTTTCGAGATTTTACCCGGTTGGTCTGGTGGCAAATAGCCAGGTGTCTCCTTGTCCGAATACCGTGGGTCATTTGGTGGTGCCGGTGGTCCTGGACGAGTTGGTCCTGGTGGTCCGGGGCGAGTGGGTCCAGGTGGTCCTGGTGGGCCGGGACGTGTGGGTCCAGGAGGTCCTGGTGGGCCGGGACGAGTGGGGCCGGGAGGTCCAGGTGGTCCATATGGGCCAGGACGAGTGGGTCCAGGTGGTCCGGGTGGGCCGGGAGGTCCGAAGGGTCCTACGAAAGGGGTTAAATACATTTTTATACTGATTCCTTTTGATGAAGTTATTATTTTAGCTCACCCTTAGGTCCGGGCTTGGTGGGTCCCTTGGGTCCGGGAGGTCCTGGTTGAAGAGATTTCAGTTTGTTAAATTCTAGAGTAAGGAACCTAAATAGCTATGGAGGGAATCAGAAGCTTACCTGGTGGTCCGGGTGGGCCGGGAGGTCCTGGGGGTCCGTTGGGTCCCTTGGGGCCTACAAATTTAATAAGAAAATATATATTAAATCAATATAAATCGTCTAAAGACTTGTGTTTAAGTTACTAATCGTATAAAGGAACACATTGTGCGTACTTTATGTATTGTTTTTAGTGGATTTATTGGCTATAACTTACCGCCAGGTCCCTTGGGACCGCCTGGGCCTCCTGGGCCGCCTGGGCCTACACCGCCGCCATCACCCTTGCCGCCTTCACCGCCGAATCCGCCCTCGGGTCCAACAACATGGACATATGGGGGTGCCGGTGGACCAGTTGGGCCTTCAACGTGCACATATTTGCCAGAATCATCGTGATAATATTTACCATCGTTAATACCTGCAAGTGAAGCAAAGATATTCATGAGTATATTCTTGTTTATAGAAATCCTTTAAGAAAAGGAGTTCTCCGAAGGATAACTCACCTCTATAGCGTCCATCGTTACCATGGTCAATATATTTACCGTTATCTATGGGGGAAGATTTAAAGATTATAGAAATATATATCGATTAGTAACGATGCATTATAAAAATCAAATAACTTTTTCACATGCTCACAATTTAACTAAATACAGTCTACGATCTAACTACAAACGGTAATTACTATTAATTACTACAATGTTTTTTTGTTTTTGTATCTAAAACTGATCTACATAACTAATTGTAATTGTACTAATTAATTGTACATTCAAATATACGATCTAAGCCAACACCAGGACATAAAATCATAACAACAAAGCAAACAAGTAGGAATGGAATGTTAGTTTCAAAACTAATGGATCTGGGTGGGGTTACGGGAATCAGGAGGAATATATAAATATATACCAAAAAACCGAGACACAAATCATAAATCACAGATAATAATTGTTAGTGGCAGTTATAGAATTGGTTAATAGTCATTGCTCAAGCGGGTTTTTTTTGTTTTTATTACATTTTCATGTGCTGTGTGTAATTATTTTTTTTTTACAATAAATGGAGTGTGTGGGGGTGTAGGGTGTACTTGTGGGGGGTGTGTGTGTTTTGTGGAATCGGTGCAAGCAAATGAGTGATATAACGCTGATCTTGGACATGCTCAGAAAATTAGAAATCAAAAGAGTTTGATTTCATTTTCATTTGATATCTTTTTTGGTGCAGAAAGTATAGAAAGTGAGGATATATATATATATAGAGATTGGGATTGTGCGCTCTTGGGAGAGGTGCTCTGGATAAAGGATAACTAAAAATCTAAGAAAAATTCGTGCCCTATAATTGCCTGACTTATATAGGTGAAGTGTGTGTGTGTATTTTGTGTGTAATTGTTCATTGTTTTGCAAAATAAAAGTTATGCAAAAGATATTTTCTAGGAGATATATGGTGCATTTAGGGTTTTGTTTTCTTGGCTGAAAATAAACGAAAAATCCTTAAAATAGTTTAAAATTAAAAAAGGAAATTATAGTAAATAGAGACGTATGAAATAGTTTAGCAAACAAACAAACTCTTACAACTAGAAAAGGAAAGCCTTGAAGAGGAAAATTTGAACGAACCGATCATAATATAAATATAATTCAATGTTATTGGTGGAATTTAAAAATCTTCAATTCAATTGGCACACTTTATCCATTTTTTACATCCATTTTGCGGCCGCGCAGCTCGTTCAAATTTTGCTCTCCAATAATTTTGTAGTAAATCGTTGGAGGGCTAACCTGCTTGATATGCGATGGCCCCAGGAAAACCGGTCTCTGTGTGCGTGTAGGTGCTCGTGTAGGTTCCCTCATTTCCAGGCCGATATTGGCCACCGGCGCCGATTCCGGAACCGCTACCGGTGCCCGTGCGATCGCCACCGCCGATGCCGTTACCGTTTCCGGTGGTATAACGATCACCGGAACCGGATGCACCGCCATTACCGGTGGTATAGCGATCGCCGGAACCGATTCCGGAACCGCTGCCAGTGCCAGTCCGATCACCATCCCTATAGACCGGCTTTCCTGAGGCTCCTCCTCCCGCGCCGATCGGTCCCGGTGGTCCCGGTGGACCAAACGGTCCCTTGGGTCCATTGGGTCCATTGGGACCATTTGGTCCATTGGGACCGAAACCGCCAACGCCTCCATTTCCACCGAAGCCGCCGCCAGAGCCGTTGCCTCCATTGCCGCCATTAGGTCCCACCACATGCTGATACGGATTATTATCCGGCACGTATTGGCCATCATCTAAAAGAACACACAAACACTGCAATCGCTGCATATGCCGCCAGATTTTGGGAAGTGCTCACTATTGCTGCCTGGTAGCAGGGTATTCACCGAATGGAAGGACGGTGCCTGATCCCCAGGATGACTGTGGTCGCTGTGTCCCTTATCCGTGCCAAAGATGCCCGTACCCTGGGGCACAATTGGACCCGTGGGCTTATGGATGGGCAGACTCTTCTGGTCGGAACCCTTTAGGACGGGAATGTTGACGGAGAACGATGGTATCGCATCGTTGCTACCCTCCTTGGCCTTGTACTGCAAAATATTTGCTTGTCAGAAGTGAGCTTCTTCTCCGGGAGGGGAGAGGGTATTCCAGGTCGTTCTCCGGAATTTAGTTTAACGAAAGGCAAGGCTGGGAGTTTTCTATAGCTAAAACTTTATACTTTTTAAATAGTTTCTATAGTTTAAGGAGTGTAAAATTACTACATTTGGGGAGTATCTTCTATTTTCTACTCATTTGGGAATTTAATGGATTAATTAGTGCCAGATTCTATACATTTTATGTAAGAGAAATGACTTTCTCTATTTTGTTTTTACTTGTTTAAAGATCTATCAATATCTATCTGAAGATCTTAGAAAATCTATCTAAAAATCAATCAAGATCTATCTGAAAATCAATCATTGACCTAAATTTAAAAGAAATTTGATTGAAACATGTAATTCTAATTCAAAATATTATTATTTAACTAAAGTTATCCAAAAGATTTCAACCTAAACCTCCTTGCATTTGCCTTTCCTTAATCACAATTCCAGAAAACGATTAGGAACCGCTTCCTAGGGACTTTCTCCGCTATCCTCTTACATCTCCAATAAAGTAGGGAACACCATGTTGCGCTCCATTGGCAAACTTGCCACATCCAATGGGGAAGTAGAGTTCATGCCACTGGAGCAGGATACCCGGCTCCGAGGGTCCTCCAGCGGTCTCCTGGTACAGATGCGGCGGGAAGGTCTCCACTGGTTTCTCCGGCTCCACGGTGCGATAGCCATGGGCATCGGCCACATAATGTGTTGCCCGGAGGAGATGGTAGGGATCGATGAGGCCATAGCAACCATAGGTGACACCATCGGGACCACGGGTCTCATGATGGAAGTTGCCGGTCTTGCCGACATCATAGCCATATCGATAGGCATCTTTTGGTTGGGATGATGATGATGATCATGTTCGTATCGTTTTGGTTTGGTGTTTTTTTGGATTTGGTTTTTGGGTTGATTTTGGTTTTTTTGGTTTGGTTTTGAAAGAGTAGGTAATGTTTAGAGTATAACGTTTTTGATTGTATTTGATTTTGCGTGATTTTGTGTGGTTTTGCTTTGAGACCCTGAAAATGGTGTGAACCCTAAATATCTGGACTAACTTTAACTTTGAACTAAAACATCTCTTAAAAGGGCGCTGTAACTGAAAGTAGTTTCACAAAGAGCCTAAATCAGATGATATAATTCGTTGAAGGGAAAATGTTGGTGTTTTTGTTGTGTGTGTTGTTTTTTGGGGGGAGGATTTTCTTTTTTAATACATTTTTTAAACTGGAGTAATCAATTTGGAGTTGGTGAGGTAGAGTTATGAGTATGCGAAGCATTTTTTAAAAGACGTTTCATATAGACCTTTTTTGGTCTACACAAAACTGTTGAAGGAAGTGTATAAAATATTCGTATGTAGGAGAAGTAGGAGGAAGAAAGTAGCATAGAATAAGAGATATAGAGAGATATAGGTAAATGATTTGATTGATTTGATTGAGCGTGTATATATATTTACAATTTGAGTATAGCTACGACGCAGACTACGATTTCTACTGGGTGAGTTTAGTAAGCTGCTACAGAGGTATATATAAATGTTTATATATATAAAAGGGAGATACTACAGTTTCGATTTTGGAGTATAGATTAATGAATGTAAGTAAGTCGGTTGGAACTATCAAAAGTTTGAGGGTAGGGGGATAATACAAATACTTAGAACTAAGGTACTACTACTACTAACAACTACGATAACAATAACAATTTGTTTGCCAATTGGTTTAGCTACTTAAACGAAAAAAACAAAAGACTAACAAACTGCATGGATGGGGATCTATCATATCTACGATATGAATACAATTTTACAAAGTTAATGGATTTGGGTTTTTAATATTATTCAAATGTTTTAATTCTTTTTTGAATGGATTCAAGCAGCTTAGATAGAGAGTAGTAAAAAATTGTAAAACGAATTCACTTACTTGTGTCAAAGTTTGACGAATAATATTGCTGATTCGTTGTCTTTTGATCGTTGATATCGAGAATCAAACGACGGTTCTCAGAATCGTATTTCTGAGAGTAAACGCATTGCACCAAGAAGATGCAAGCGATGGCCTGAAAAAAAGAAGATAAATTAATGATTAATAATGAATACACAATCTTAAAGCTGTTGAAAAGATTTGTCACATGCAAGGCACGCCTCTGTCTCCTCCAAAAAGCAGAAAAAATATTTTAAAATTTAAGTCTTGACTCGACTTTACTCAATTTGCATGAGCAAGATGAGTCAAGACTTGGAAGTTTGAGCTCGTTTTTCGGCCTGAGCAAATCAGCAGCCATTTAGATCCGGTTCGATTCGAAAACCAAAGCAAAAGAGTAAAAACCGTTCACCAAAAAAAACCATTCAAAAAATGTAAAAAAAAAAAATGCTGGCTAAAATGTCAAAGGCATAATAATCAAATCAAAGCGAATTCTTGTCAAATACTAAAGGGGTTTTTTCATCTCTAGTTTGTCTATGCAATTTTTGCTTTGTACATGCTAATTTCCCAAGATTTGTCACAGAATTTTTGCGAAAATGTTGAAGAAGAAAAAACCAGTTGGCATCCACTTGACAGTAATGGACAATTAGCTTAGTTCTAAATGCACTTGTCGGCATTCTGAGTGGCAGCTGCAAATCGATTACATTTTTTATTTTATTTAATTTTTTGCCACTCAACTGTGTCTGTTCCACATAATCTTTGAAACCATAGAAAAGATCTCCACCTTAATATTTGAGATTATGAAATTTTGCTTTTGTTTGTTAATTTGCATAAATTGCTTATAGAGTTAATATAATCGAGCCAAGTTCCGGCATTTGCCAAGACTTCCTTGTGTGTGAAAACGAGTTCTTTTACGAAATTTATACTATACTAACCACATCCTAATATAGAATTCATATATCATTGAGTCATATTTCCTAAATATGTCGCCAAAGATTAGGGAAGCATCTGAAGGTGTGGAAAATGACCTTCGCATTATGTTGAATAAATTAATTCATCAAATTTACGATTTGATAGATCTCTTCAAGAGCCAAAAAAAATGAGGCAAAGGTGTGTTTAGCTTAAAGGTTAAAGAGGGATTGAAGTAATTAAATGAGAAACAATGGTTAACACCCGCTATAGATTCCAATATACGCTCAATAGCAAACGATAAGGTCAATAATATTTCGGATTTTTGTTCAGTTTCTTTTGCTATTTTTTTCTTTTTTTTGGTGGGTGCAAACAAAATGGAAATCAAACCATGTGAAGGAAACCCAAAACTGCGGCGACAAAACAAATGAATTTCACATAAAACCAATTTATTTGCCTATTGTGGCCATCAGCAAAAACAAAAAAAAAAAAATACAAAAATATGAAATCAACATAATGCAAATTGCCAGCTACTATATCTTTTTTTCTCGATGGACAACTACTGTCTTTTGATTGGCATATCTCCAAGTCTCGCCTGTGCTCCAAAAACTCCCGTCAATAGTTAAATAAATTATGGAAAAAATCCCAAAAGCCCCATAAAATTATAAATTTGTTTGATATTAATTTATTATGCCATATATCCATTCAGCAGCAGCTGCTGACAACGGAGGTCGTTTCCATCTCTCACCCACATCACCATCACAATTTTTTTAATAGCGGTATGAAAGTGGTTGTTTGTGGAAAAACCGCCTGGTTAAATATTACAAAAGTTTTTCATTATTTTCAGCGATTATTGATTTTTATTCGATGATTACTTTTGTAGTCCAAGAAACTTTGTCTTTAAGTCATGGGAAACTAGCATATTGTTGACGTTCCTTTTTTTGCCTTTTTAGTTGAAGTCTAGGAAAACTGTAGTAACTGATGGATTGATTGATGGTAAGTGGTGTGTTTTTCTTGGGAAAAACTCCAGGAAAAAGGGATTATTAATAGGCAATGAGGGAAAAGAGGCACTCAATGTTCTAGAAAAGTCGTTAAACTAACAAAATTAATCAGAAATTGCTGGAAAAATAACTTTCGGAATTTAAGGCCTCAAATGATTGGAGTTTCTGGGAATTTCACTTTGAAAGTAGATAATTTTTTAGGTTTATCGGTTAACAAAAACTTATTAAAGATGTAATTGTAGTTCCACATATTTTTTTTAGATTTATTAGTTAGCAAAAACTCCTTAAAGATTGCATTTAAGCAGGGAATTTATCGTATATCTTTGTATATATTTCTATTTAAATTTCTTTGTATTAATTTCTTCATAATTTTCCTTATTTAATGACCATAAAACCTTCCCCACTTCACCCTGATTTTAAAACTAGGTTAGCAAATTAATTTCTTGTGCGTAATTAAACTCTTTAATTGAGTGAATGGGGGGCAGGCCAAGCCCGCTTTTGAGCTTGCCACAAAGCCACCTAAAAAATCAATTGCCAATCAATTAAACTCAAAAAAAAGCCAACTAACAAAATGTGGGCCACAAATATGAATACCATACTATATTATGTATGTTTGAGTGGTGTCAGCCATCATCATAGTGCGAAAAGTGCGAGTTGCAGATGCAGTAAATCAATTCCAAGTCGCATAGATCATCTACGCCGAATGGCGGCTGTCTCAGTGACCCAAAAAAAGCGTAACTCCGCCTTGAGAACCAACTCGAATATGTTCTTCAGTGAGTACTGAGTAGTGAGTATTCACAATGAGCCAATGAATCTTGAACATTTTTGCATAACTCGAAACATGGCATACCATTTATTAATCGACTTATTCGCACGCACAAGAGGTTTGTCTCTTTTTCTTTTTTGATGTTTTACATGACTTGAAGACACAAACCGAACCTCTACTCATGATCAACTTAATCATAATCATAATCATCATTGGCACCAGCAACAAAAAAAAAACCAGTTTAGTCATATCCCCCAACACTTTTCGCTGGGAGTCTCTTGACTGCTTTTGCCCTTTGGCGGTTTGGTCGAAGCGAAACTTTTTTTCTTTTTGTTTTCCTTCCAAGTATTTATACTTTTCAAGGTCGGCTTGTATCTTGAATTGAACAAGAAAGAAAAAAAACATCTTGATAAATCGAATAAAAATGCAACGACCTTAATCGATGACATCTTTATCCCTTGTTTTCTGTGGGATGCATTTTTCGGGTCTGCCCAAGAAATTGTGAAATTTCTCTCCGTTAAGGGGGAATTGTGAAATTTGTGCCAGTGTTTCCAAACCAGAGTTAAAACGATGATGGTAAAAATGTCAGACAGACATTCATAATAAGCCTAACCCTCAGCAACAAGATAAAAGTTATTAGAACTTTTCGATACAATACAATACCATTTAATATCTCTCTGATCTCGAATTGGTCTTGAAACGAGTTTAACCAGCTATGGGCTTTAACCTTTTTGGGCTCTTTTTGGATTTTCCAGTTAATCCAGACACTGTTTTAATTAGCATCGCATCTAGAATTTGGTATTTGAGAGCAGAACCGTGCTAATGAGTTCATTCCTCATCGATGGACTTTTTGGGCGAAATAAAAAAAGGAATTAGTCAGGTGGTTGATCGCGGACAAAGCTGGGAATTTGTCCAACGAATCTGTAGCTCATTAAACTGCCTGTCAGTGAACTTCCACTCGACTTGTTCTGATTTATGAATGCAATTAACTAAATATACCGTTGGCTCCACCGAGTGACATCATATTATTTTTGGAACAAATAAACTTTTACTTTCAACTTTTGGCATTTGGCTTGAAAGCTTTTTGGCATAGCGTTTTCGTTTTTATTTAAACCAGACTCCAAAGACTTCCTCCATCCATTGCCAATAAAGTATTGTCTCTCCTAATCTCTGACAGGCGATCAAGCCTCTAATTTGCATTTCTAGATTTTGTCTTTTAAGATATATAGTATTTCTCTATAGATTTTGTATTATAAATAAATTAATGCGAAACGGGGAACCGCAAACCCTAAAACCAAATATCGAAAGTCAAAGTGAGGAGAATAGAAAGAATGGAAATTATTGATGAGCCATAAAAGTGAATGGGTTTCAGCAAAAGTTCCATGAACTCTTAGGTAATAGGGTTTGTTCCGCCCTAGGAAATAGTTTTGGCTCATTTTAAGGGTCAAGAACTTTGGCTTTGACCTTTAAATCGTTGTAATTCTAACCCATTTTCATTCTCTTTACTGTAAAAGCTAAACTATTCCAATGGACACACATATTTGCTCCATTTTTACAGCCTTATAAATGCCTTAATTTATTTCAATTGCCTACAAAGTGAAGCCAAGCTGTTTGTCATGCAAATCTCGACTTTTTGCTACTCCATTTTATGACACAAACTTGGCCGTTGAACAAGCGATTAAATCTGCTCAGATTTGCAGCCAGAAAATTCCAAGCACTCTTTAAAATTCCAAACAACAAGAACTAGATATTTATAATAAAAAAAGATAGAAGAATTGTGGGGCAAGATGATGATGCCCTGTCAACGCTTGCCGCGAGGCATTAACAATATTTCTTGCCCCCAACCTGGGTTCTTCTTTTCCCCCTTTTTTTGGTGTACGTGTCTGGAGGAGATATCTTTTTGGCCAAAACAGAGCTGCGGCTTAGGCCGCCGGCCGCCATCGTGATAAATACCAAACCCAAAAAGCTTAACCTCAACCGAGGGGGGAAAAAAGAAGGGGTCAAAGCATTTGGCAGGTGACAAAACCTGAGACAAAAACCATTTTTTCTAGACCAAAACGAGATGATATCGCAGCTCACTAAGAGCACCATTAAAGCACCTTTAAAAACACCTTATTTTTTTGGGTGAAATTTATAACCTGAAGCACAATTAACAGCTTGGGTTGAGTATTATCTAAGAATCTTTATTTTTGGGGTTCCATATAATCAAATTAACACTCTAATGCGATAGTCTTTCCTAATGAAGCGAATCCTTGACTCATAATTTTAACTTTGACTTTCGCAGAAACGGATCTAGGCGAAGCTAAAAACAAAAATTTACAAATGATATAAGGGAATTTGCATATGAAATCATTTAAACAAAAAAAAAAACGCAACTCTCTCTCTATACGATTTATACGTTAAACAACAAAATTGTTAACGTTTTTTCACCTGCTGCTGCTACCACATTTTTGTCCGTTGACTCGTCTTCTATATACTTTGACTAAAACAACACAATTACGAATATCGATTGGATTTCAAATGACAACAATAAAAACTGGGCAAGACTCTGGCTTTTTTGCGTTGTTCGCGTTAAATAAACAGAAGGAGTAACTACAATCATTACGAAATTGCCGGTATTTATTTGCTTAGAAAATGCCGGTTGCCTACTACTATTATTATTACTATTATTACAAAGTTGCTGGCTAGTAACTTATATTTAGTGAGTAGATTTGAACAAAAAAAATAAATAAATAAAGTAAACCAAATAGTTGCAATTTGACCCGGACTTGTTAACGCTCGTTAAAAATCGTTCATCTATTATTGGTTATGAGGTTCTCATATTCTACGAAGCCTTCAAACTTGGTTGCCATGCATTTATTGTTCGTTTTGTAATCAAACAAACGAAGCTGAAGTATTTCTCGCATATTTATTTGTATATTTTATGTTTGACATTATTATTAGCACTAAGCTAAATGCTCTCTACGTGTCTCCAAAATTATTACAAAATAGGAGAAATTAAATAATATTTAGATTTAAGGAAATATTAGATGGATTCAAGCAAAATAAATTACTTTATAATACAAAATAGAATATAAAAAAGCTTTTAAGCATCATAATATTGATTTTCTTTTCATTTTTATTAATTTTTCCAATATTTTCTTAGGTTTTTATACCAACTTACCATGCATAAAGCTGCACGCGCCATTTTGCAACGAATTTTTGACGGTTTTTTTGACACAAGGAACGCCAGTAAATATTAAGGTATTTTTCTTTAAATTTTACAATGGAATAAACTCAGTTATTCCAATTTCCAATCTTGAAAAAGAAGAAAAATCGTTTTTAAGCATTAATTTGGTTGTCGCAGGCACAATTTTCACACGAAATCAAGAATTTTCGAGATTTTAAATCTTTATATCCTTGCAATTAGTACAGTTCAGTGGATTTCCATATATGGTAGATAGATCACTTAGTGAGTGGTTTTATTTTTTATTTTTTTTTAAGTAGTATTTACTTTTAGGAGCCTAAACTAGAGCTCATACCGTGGTGACCGATGTGGACGAACTGAAGATGAACGCATCGCGTCTTTGCCATATAAACAGAGGCAGACGCCGAAACAAAAAAAACTGAAAAACTGAAATCGAATTTTGAGACTTGAGAGCAACCAGCTAACACACACACACACACACACACACCTACTCAGGTGACAGAGGTGCGTAAGTGTGTGTGTGAGTGGGAACAAGTTTGTATTATTTTTTTATGCACGCTTTTTTCGCTGGATACGTTAATTTATTTGGCCAAGAGAGATGAGCTGAGCTTGTACCACGGGTCGTATACTTGATATATTAAGCACTCTCCTCGGACTCGCTCTCCAAGATCTCGATTTCAATCTTGATTTTGTCTAGGATCTGCTTGCGTGTCTCAAGAATTTTGAGTTCACTTTCAGGTTCTTTTTTTTAGAGGGGGGTTCATTAATATTTAAAGATTGATTTTTTTTCTTTGCCCCCTCTATATTATTTATTCTCTTTTATGTTTTATTATTTTCTGTTTGTCCATAGAGAACATTTTTAAAGTTTTTAATTGAAAATTCGAGTTTTTCGTGTTTATTTTGATTTAATTTAATCGTTAATCGCAAAGTGATATTTTAGCTATAGATAGATTGTTGCTTTTTTCTCTAGGAATGGCTCCCGTCGTTGTTAGTTTTTTTTGTTTCTAAAAAAAAAAGTATTTAGTTGGTTTCTTGATTTAATTAAGGCTCTTGATTTCCGTATACACACATATTTCTTCCTGTGTATTGGATAGACATAATTAAAATAAATCTTTTGGCTATTGATCACAAATGAGACAGTATATAAATAATATCTAAATCTTGAAATGAACTCACACGGTAGCCAAGAAATTAATCTGTGAGCTCATGTCGGATAGGAGGAAATCGCTGCCAATCCGTTTTGCCATAATTTAGACACCTTTTTTATTTTTTCATTTAATTGCATTTATAGATGCTTCCGTTTGATGATCCGCTTAAGCTTAAATCATATAATATTCTATATTATATATATTCGTGTTGCATTTATTTCTCAAAGATCTGTTGACATTTAAGGTAGATTAAAGGGGAAGCAATTTCCACGTTGGTTTTGCTCTTGAAGTCAGCAATTGACACAGAAAATAATCAGCTTCTTCTTTTGCTTTTGGGCATAAAACAGGATGAATTTAATGGCAATGCTTAAGTCAAGGCGAAACCCACGGAATTGAAGACAATGTACAATGTATTTTTCGACTATAAAAACGAAAATTAAATAAGAGAAAATTAAACGAATGTTAAATGCTCTTAAAAAGCAGAGAAAGATAATATAAAGCCAGCATTTAATTGAGCAAAAAAGAAAGATTTACTCTTTAATTTAAATTTAAAGATTATAGGAATAAATTTGATCAGCAAATGATTTGGTAAACTTTCGAAACTCTAAACTTATAAATATTATATATAAGTATATAAATATAAATATATTATATTTGCAATTTTCTTCATATTTATATATTTATATAAAACACATTCGACATTACCCTTTTATAGAGCATTCTTATGAAATCGAATTTTTTGGCTCAGCATGCAAAAATCGAACCCTGCTGGGGGGCTCTTTGTAAAATATATAGTATGTCTACGTGGGCTTAGTTAAAAACTTAAGAAATATAAATTTTAAAAAATATATATGCCAAAGGCTATATTAAGCTGGGATTATCGTGAGCACATTAATTATTAATAGACTTTATAAAGCAAAGTAAGTGGAATGCATTCTTGAAATTCCTTGCACATTACCGGGTATTCAAGCAATGACCTTGACATCGCTTAGTAATCTGGGTATATCCTCAAAAGCCTTCGGCATTCTCAAATGATTATTAAGATTTTTTAATATATATATTTTTTTTGCTTCATTTTTTCGCAGCTTCAAGCTGTGGCAACAACAAAAGTGAAACATTTAAACTGGTAGTTTTTCGTTTTGCTTTAATTTTACTTCATATGTAAATGCATTTTTTGGCAGAGTTTCATTGACAGTAAAATTATTAAACATAAACCAAAAATAAGAAACAAAAGCGAAATGGTAACACATTTGGGCAAGTGTATATATTTATTTTTTTTTAGTCAGTGCAAAAAGGGACAAAGAAATATTATATATATATTTAAATTGTATTTAATCCAAATTTGAGATCTGTGAAATTTAAATAAATTTATATATTATATTCTCTCCTCTGGGTTTCGCGAACTTTCAGCCCACACAAATCTTTATTTTTATGACCACACCGATACACAATACACGAATTTTTTTTTTTGGTCTCTTGAAACGACCTTTGAGAGAACAAAACCACAAAAAACCAAAAAACTTTTAGTCGCAAAACAAGTTAAATTTTTGTTAATCAAATTCATAAGCTGGCGAAACTATCAAGAAATCAAATTTATAAATAGAAATATCGCATATAAGATATGCTTTTAACAAGCCCAAAAAGTCAAGTTCGATTTGAGGAAAAGCAACATTAACCCAAGATTAATATTTCATGCGAACAAGAAGAATTCGAGGCGTTTGAGCCAGCTTCAGGCAACATTTTGGGGCACAACGCCAAATTTAGAGAGCCTACCTACCCAAAAAAATAAATAAAACCAACTGAAAACAATTTGTTGCAGCAGCCTCCGAGTATTGACAAAATACCAAAAGTCATTGGCTCTGACTCAAGTCTGATGATGATGAGATGGGATGTGAGATGAAATGCGTGGCTTTGGGAATGCAAAATGTGATGCCGGGGTAACGTTACCATAAATCGCTCACACCGAATGCCGGCGTGTTGCCTTTTTCACCGATGAGTCATGGATGTGTAGGGCAAGTCCCTTGATCCCTTGATCCCTTGCTCCCTGGATCCCTGGATCCCTTGATACCTGGTGTGAGTTCATGTTGCATGTTGCATTCGATGACCTTCACTTATCAGTTTTTTATTTATGTATACTTATATGAGAGTGAATTCCCTGCAGCTGTTTCCGTCTTTAGACGCACGCATCGATGCTTATGTAACCGAAGTTGAATGACTTTGCCCTGGGATGCCCTTGTGCAAGCTGAATCTTAATGCACAGAAAAAAATTATATACATCACATAATTATATATAAAAAACCCCGTTAAATATCTGTCTTTATACTCTCTTATAAGTCCAGAAAACTAAAATTAAACTTATAAAAATATATAATAATAACATTATTTTCCCTTGCATTGTGTACTGTGTACCAAAAAATTAATCAACTATTAAGTACTTTTCTTTTTTCCCTAACCTTCTCCTGATTTTTCAGGGCGTCTCTTCTTTAATTTTCGTCTGGAATTAATTTTTTATATTAAGAAAAAAAAAGAAAGATACCGAGACCCTGTCCCATGTAATCCTTTAATGTCAGGCTTCCGTCCCCATTGAAAGGAGAAGTTTTTAAAGTGAAAGGAAAACGAACTCATGGATGCGTCACACACAGTAAAAGATGCATACGCGTAGATACAAATTTACATCCGTTTCTTGCCAGTTCTCTCGCAAAGTTTAATGACAGCCATGAATTTAACTTGGAAATGGAATTTGTAAGTAACTCATGACATTCCTGCGGAATTTCTCAAAAAAAAAGATGACAATTTGTTAAAGAATTGCTGGTCTGTAATTATTTAAACTTGAGTTTGCTCTGGACGGACCCATTTTGAATGATGTCATATTTGGTGGGGCGTTTCATTAAAAATGCATTAGTCAAATTATTAGTCAAGTTATTAATCAAAATAAGAACAGGCCTATGAGGTGATTTTTTTGGCAAAAACAGGGCCGGATTTGTAACAATGGAGGGAAATAAAATAACGTTGAAATTTATAATAAAGATGATAATATAATCAAAGAAAATGTTAAAATAAAGTTAATAATATAATTTAACAAAATTCAACAAGTTAAATAAAGATATTCTGTCTCAGATTTTAATTTTGTAAAGTATTTACATAAAGTATATATTTAGTATACACTAAAATGATCCTATTATTTTATATATGCCTTGGAACTAAAAAATACTTAAAATCACTCAAATATATACAAAATTACAATAAGAAATGTTAAGCGAAAGGCTAAAAATCAAAAGAATTAAATGAACATATAAAGTATCTATATGGGAATCATATATATATATTTTTTTAACTAAAACATTTAAAAGAAAAACTATGAATACTAAAGTAAAAACATAATAATTTGTTAAATTATTCTAAAAATAGGTTGATATATATTTTTTTATATTTTTCTTATTAAATATTAAGTTATATTAGCGCCCAAAAGTACCTAAACCCTGCAATCCGCTTCTGTTTTACGTCTCTGGTCATCGCACAATACGTGAGAAATTCATGAGAGCAACAAAGAATTCGCATCCAATTAAAAGCTACTATAATGGCCAAGACAAATGACGACCGGGTCTGTTGGAGTGACAGCCGCAATTGTCTTAGGCATTTGGACATTATACATAATCCGCCTGACCATCTTATCAATGATATCAGACACCAAGAACTTGTTTGTAGCCGCAGCAGACCAAGGTGGAGGTTGTAGTAGCAGCTGCTAAAACACAGAAATAAACAAGTGATTTGCATATGGGGAACACTCTTTGTGGCAAAGAACATCAAGATACTTAGAGGAGGAGGAGTCAGAGAGCCAAGGACGAACATGGTCAAACAAATCTGCAAACAAATTTCCTTTACCTTGTTGCAATCAATCAATACACATTTTGCTTGACTGTCAACACCATGCGAAATTTATTGGAGTGGGTTTTATTTTTTTTACTTACTTCCGTTTCGAGTGTTTCGAAGATACACTTTAACCAATGCTTATGTTGGCTTTGCACACTTATTTGCCTAAGCCTGTTAAATATTTCTTCGAAATCGCAAAGCACTAAAACCATAAATATTTATTAATTTATGAGCCAGGCATTTTGTTTTTGAATTATGACACCAAATTAAGCTCAGTTGCAGGTATGTTTTAAGTGCTTAAAATGCAGGAAACCTTAACT